AAATTAAAGGGCGATGGTAGCAGGAGGCCAAAGGGCGAATTTTTAGGCAACGGCCCTTATGCAAGCTCAAAAAAAAATCGAAATTTCAAAAAAACAAACGAAAAATCTAGAATTCAGCCTCGTTTAAGGGCCCGTGCCCCTTTTCCCCCCCCCCCTCTCCAACGGCCCCCCCCCCCCGGCCTTTTTTTTCGCCCCCAAGGCACGCGCTCTAAGAAATTTGTATGGTTTTTAACGTTTAAGTAGGTGTTTACAGATTTTTTAGAAATTCAACGTAACCCTATGAACATTTTTTCTTATTTTATCGGTTTTCGGTACGTTTTTACCGACTTTATCCCGGTCTAGGAGCTAGAAAACACTAGAAAAATTAAAAACTCTCTTTTCTTGCGCGATACGCTATAAATTAAGATTTAAGCGTCACCAGCGCAAAGTGCTGCCCGCGCAAACAGCGCAACCCATTACGCTATTGAAAAGCCGGACGAAGCCATAGCAATGCAGCCGAAAAAATCTATAACCATACCTTGCGAGTCCCTTTAATCGAACACCAGCTGTATCCAATACTTCATATCCACCCACAAATTCTGCTCAAACCACGTTGAAGTCTGGATGCCAAAATTCAGGGCCGATCGTTTCGTTGGTTCCCATTTTTGGCCACCGCTTGCTTGTTTCGATGAGCTCTCTGATCCGCTATAGTTTTTCTGGAAGCCGAGGTTGAGGAGGGCAAGCTAGCAGAGGTTCTTTGAAAATTGGTGCAGCAAAATTCACGTTTTAAGACCCGATTTTGATCTTCCACAACGTGCGTCATTTGTATCGTTACGTTTTTTCGATTTTCAACCAGTGAAAGGCTTTTGAAATAATTTATTATCAAAAGGTTGTAGTCATCTTTCAATTCCCGTCTCTGTCTGTCTGTCTGTCTCTCTGTCTGTCTCTCTGTCTGTCTGTCTGTCTGTGTTTATATGCATCTTTGATCGATTTTCGATTCGAAGGCATATTCTATTTGTTATTCCCCACCACCTGCCGGTGACTCACCCATTCCTGTCACTGTTCAGTCGATTTCTTTCCCCTTTCAGCCTCACAAGGCTCCGGTTTGGCTTGTTTTCAGAAATTGTTGTTTTACGGGGTTTAGGAAGACCTGAATACTGAGGGTTTTTGTTGTATGAGCTCGCGAACCTTTTTCTGGAGAAATGAAATATTTATGCTCTTTTGATAGGCTTTGAAACTAGGTGTCAATCGATACTGGGCCGGAAAGCGGCCGATGATCGGCTTAGCAAACGGAACCATCGGTTTATTTTCTTATCAAATTTTTGGCTCTCAGATTTAGGCGTTGAAAGGAGCGTTAGTACGCTAACAAAGGACATAATAATACGTTTCAGAAATCGAATAATTTAGGCACTAATAATTCCTCACTATCGCACGCTCTCTCTCACTCTCTCTCTCACTCTCTCTCTCTCTCTCTCTCCCTTTCACCCTTGCTCTCTCTCGCTCTCTTTGCTCATTTTCACTTTCTCGCTCTATCTCGCTCGCACGCTCGCTCGCTCTCTCTCTCTCTCTCTCTCTCTCTCTCTCTCTCTCTCTCTCTCTCTTTCTGTTTCCCTCACTCTCTTACGCTCTCACACCAAAGCTGTTCAAAACGTCAAAATTGATCAAAGCTACATTCAAAAAGGACTCCCCCTTCCCCTGGCTTCTCCCCCCCCCGTCCCCCAATCGCCACCCGTCTGGCCCACCACGGCACTAATAGACTCAATGCCCGCCCCGTTTGCTCACCCTCAGCCCCGGGTCAGGCCTGGTAACCACGGGTACAACACCTTGTGCCTTATACCACTTTGCACTTATGTCTTTGCATTTATGCTAAGTGCCGTTCGGACACGGCGGGTAGTCTGACCCATTGGCCAACGCGGAGCCAACCGTTGGGCTTAATTTTTGGACAGCCCGCAAGGGTTGAAAATAGCTCGTTATCCCTGTTTTCTCACTCTCTCTCCTCTCTCTCTCTCTCTCTCTCTCTCTCTCTGTCTCTCTCTCTTTCTCTCTCTCTCCCTACGTTATCCACATTTCAAAAACCAAACACCGATATTTCGTTGTCGACTCGAAAAGGTGAATTCTGTAGCGTGGTTTTTCGGGCCATAATTTGTACAGACGCGTTTTCACCTTTTTAAACCCGGTCCCCACTGATGGCCTATGCTGCCGTTTCGTGGTTTTTCTGGTCGTTTCCCTGGTTCTCCTAATTTTCACGGTTTTTTTCCTAGACCCATTAATTCTATACGTACCTGAATTTCGTCAACTTGATTTGTCGGAGCAAAATTGATCCCGCAATCAGCTGAAATCGGGGGGACTGGGGAGTGTGAATTAATTCTCAGAAATTGAGCGCTGCTTATTTTAAATTAACGCTATTCCACTCCATAATATACCTCTAGCCCGAGCACCCATGGCTGACCCGTAGAGCCATGTCCCAAACACAGTTTACCATATGGAGCGGTCGGCGCAACGCATTGCGCCGGCGCGCCCGCGCTCATGTTTATGCCAATGACTCATGCGATGGATCGCGAAGCCCATCACGCGCTCCTTATAAAAATGTTGATGCAGATCGCCCGCTAGTCATAAATTCACAGGATATACCTTTACTATTATATTTTCATAGAATTTCCTCATTACATCTCATAATTTCCTGGAGAGTTCCACGGGGGTTCAATATTTTAAGTATTTTAAAGCGTTTTCTCCCGTCGCCTTCGTCTCCGTCCATTTCTGGACCCAAATTTGAGCACGAAAAAGTTCGATCTCGATACAAAAGAAATGTTACGGGTGCGTAAAGCATGAAGGCGGACATGGCAAAGGAGCGCCGCGGAGTTCAGTTTTTCGGCACTCCGCTGGGTTCCTCTCTGTCTAGCTCCATTTTTTTAATTTTTTTAAACGGCAGCTTCTTAAATGTATTTTTCTCCACAGCCAATCGATGCGAATTGTGGAGAAATATTTTGCTAATTTAGAATTTTATAGGATTAAATTTAGTCTAGCATTTTAAATTTGGAAAATTAAAGTTCGTATTGGGATTCGGCTTTTTGCCATATAATTTGATAAAGTCTAAATTTTTTTGTATAGATCAACTTCAATGGGTCGGTTTTATAGAAGCTAATTTTATAGCGATAAATTGTGGGGTTAATCATCTTAATATTCGAGTCTATTAAAAATATTCAGCTAAATTTTGCAGAATTTTTTTGCGCACACCTGGTTTACTGTAGTGCGATTTATGTATTAGATGCGTGTAAAATAATTTAAAGTCTTTTCAGCTTACATTTTCAAATTATTTTTATTGATTGGAAGGAAGTAAAAAACACCAAAATATCCAGCAATTTCTGGCGAGGCGACCACGATTTTGCAGAAAATGCGTAGCTAATTTCGGTGGGGGGCCGGGTACTTATATACAGTGGCCGGCTTTCCATTTCCGGCACACTAGTATTGACATTGGTATGCGTGGATAGTCGCCTCGCGGAATGCGGGCGAAGATCGAACCGCTCGAAATCCTCGGCCACACCCGGCCATTTCCACGGATTGCCGCAGATGGGCAAATTTTGAGCGCGAAAAAGTAGGGTCTTTTTAAGGGGAGGGCAGAGGGGGGGGATTCATTCCATTCTACTCTCCCCTCGAAATTGGCTTTTGGCTTTTGGGCTACCGTAACCCGCCCCCCCCCCCGGGTGGTGGTTTGGCCCCGGAAAGCCGCGGAATTTTCGCAATTTTTGGGATTTAAATCGGGTTTAATCGGTTTTAAATGATTTTGCTGTTTTGGAAACGTTTGAGAGCCTTCAATTTAATTTTAAATTGTTTAAAATTTAGAAAAAAGGTTTTAAAAAATTTTAGACTTTATTTGTAGCATTCAAAAATATAATTTTTAGGTTTTGATAATCAAATTTGCTACTTAAATTGCTAAAATCCGATAACGTACGATCCATATATTATTTAGAATAGCTCACAAACGCTTTAAAAATTACGTGAAAAATACAAATTCCTTTTTTAAAATCTTAAAAATTAAATCATTTTCAATTTACAAAGTGAAATTGAGTTTTTAACCGCGAAAAAATTCTAATAAATATTTTAAAAAACCTTGACGTTGTTTACAAACTGGAAATACTTTCCAAGTTTTACAAAAGCTGAAAATTTTAGATCTTGAATTTTCAAGGCAATTTTTGGTATTTTTGAAGATAATTTGATTTGATGATTTATCGTCAAAAAAAACTACCGTATTATGCTCCATTAAATCCAAAAGTACAAATCACAGCTAATGACGCCAAAAATTCATCAAATTCTATTGAATTACGATAATCGGAACGGCCAACCAACCAACCGCACACACACACACAGTGTCAAGTGAATCACATATTTTTGGTGGGTTGGCGGTGACGTCTCTGCTTCTCTAATTCTCTCTCTTTCCGGTGCTCTCTCGCCCATTTTATAAGTGTGCATAAGTGATAAGCCATTGAAGAAAGAGGAGGAGGGGATGGAGAACTATCCAAACCGCCGGTCAACGCCCCTCCCTCCAACAGGCCCTTATCGGGGGTTTTTTACACTTCAGCTGAAGCTCGTTCAATGCCGCCAAACTTTTTAGGTTTTAGAGCCCTTATTTAAGCTTATTTAAGGTTTTCTACGCTCCATGGCTGATTCCAAATTTTTCTAGCAAATTTATCGATTTTGTGCCTGCCTTCGCTGGTTTTTCGACGGTTTTTTCAGGATTTTATTGCTTACTTGATTATTTGAAAATCCTAGTTTGAAAATAGCGATTAGCATTACAAAAAACATATCAAAATAGATGCGCAAATTCGCTAGAAGCTATGTTATCCGAATACTTTGCATTTTTACGATTTTAAAAATAGATTTTGCTAGATTTTTCAAGAGTTCGATCATTTTTTTCCTTTTTTTGCCCGATTTTTCTTATTTTTGCATTTTCATTAATGCTATATAAGGTCCATGCTAGGTTCTTACAGCTAATTACTACTCCTAAACTTGGAAACTCGCTGAATATGCCGGCCGCCACCTCCGACTTCAAGCCGATCACGCTGGCCGAGATCCAGAACGGGCTGTGTGGGTTTTAAATTCATTCGCTCGATTGAATTAGCTTTCCAAATGGAATTTTACCGGAAAATCAATTCGAAAAAGCGCTATTTAATTGCATTCTTTTTAAAATTTTATATACCGCAATTAACCTTGAAAATGTCGGTTTTCAGGCCCCTCCGATCGTCCGATCCGTATCCTCGTGGAGGGTACCTACGATCTGTTCCACATCGGCCATATTGAAGTTCTGCGCCAGGCGAAGCAGGCATTCCCCAATGTCTGCCTTGTCGTTGGAGGTAAACATTACCTTTTTTGTTGGGTTTTTTTCGAGGTCTTAACAGATAATTTTTAGCTTAAAAAACTAGTTTTAAAAAGTAATAATTGTATTTTAACAAAAATTGGGCTAACTGGGGTATCTAGCAGAGATTTCTCTAGCAAGATCCAAGTTTACATTTGCCAAATTGGCTATCTTTAGCCCCTCTGTCCCCCTGTCCCCCACTCGCCACCCGGCTGGCCCACTGCCGCACTAATAGTCCCTTCCCTTCCCCCTCGCTTTTGTCGGGGTCCAGCCTTGTAACCACGGGTAAAAGACGCGTGCCTTACCCACTTGCATTTATGTCTTTGCATTTATGTTAAGTGCCGTTCGGACACGGCGGGTAGCTGGACCCAGCCGTTGGTCTGCGCGGACCCAACGGTTTGACAATAATTTTTGGACAGCCCGCAAGGGTTGAAAAATCACTCTTTAACTCTAGCTGACACAATCTCTCTCCCTCTCTCTCTCTCTCTCTCTCTCTCTCTCTTTGGAGGAATTTGCATCAGAAAATATTTGAAACCGCTAAAAAGTCATCCGAAATTCAGCGTATAAACTGAGCTAGGCGTGCTAGCCGAGGTTCTTTGCGAAATTTATTTCGTCTGGACTACCTAGGCAAGCTAGCAAAGATTCTTTAGGAATATCTAAACCATACTAGACTGGATTTCACTCTCCAGACTCGCTTGTTTTGCAATTTTTTAGTCGATCCTCGTTTTCCCAATTTTCGAAATTGAATTTAGGGGATCAGTTTTTGAAGGGAGCAAGCGTGGGGGTTGGTCGGCCTTTATTGTGTGTGTTCACAATTACATGTTTGATCTGTGAAATGAGTTGACACAGCTGGGCATCCACAGCGTCGGGGGGGATCGCCCATTTTGGGAAGCAATTTTTATGGCGGTGCCCGGGGAGGGGGAGGGGGCATATTTTAACCTTTACGGGCGGGGGTGGGACTTCACGGGATTTGTTAAAAAAAGTGAAATGATTAGCCGTCCTGTCCGAACCGATTACGTGACGAAAAAGTGCGGTTGCGTTGCGTGTCGCGGCTTAGACAAAAACTATTCGGAGTTCAAATTAAAGTTCAATAAATACCTTGAAAAACCTCAAATTAAATTTAACTAATTTACAGTGAACACGGACGTGGACGTGATCAAGTACAAGGGCGGCAGGCCGGTCATGTCGTACGCTGAACGTCTTCGCGCCGTTCTTGAGTGCAAGTAAGCGAGAAGAAGGAAACGAGAGAAGGAGAGAGAGAGAGAGAGAGAGCGAGAGCGACAGAGATAAGAAATTAGACATATATCGTGGCGTAAAATACCGTAACCCTTTAAAATTGCATTTTAGATACGTAGACGAAGTGCTGTCCGATCACCCGTTCTACTTCTCTCTCGACTATGTCAATCAGATCCAATGTGATCTGGTGGCCCACGATGATCTACCCTACAACACCGGGGGAGCCATCCAGGGTTCCGATGGCGATGATTTCTACATGCGATTCAAGGTATGAAATACGCTAAAAACTGTGTTATAAAGGGCGTAAAGAGGAAGAGAAAAAAACAAAAACATAAGATGATTCCATTTTTAGCGCGTCGATCGTTTCCTGGCCACCCAGCGAACGGAGGGCATCTCGACGACGGATCTGATTCAGCGTATTCTCAACGCCCATGAGGTCAGTTCTGGGCGTAGAAAGGATCATAGCGTAGTCTATGGTCAAAATCTGTCTTCCGAGCAGCTTTCAATCCACGAAAATCCCGTAAAAATAGATTATCTAGGTGTAAAAAGGTGCGTAGCGTAGTTCTGGCTTCAAATTTAACTTCTGCGCAGCTTCCCAAAAAGATAAATTCCATAAGATAATATTTTGGTTGGTGTAAAAATGGACGGTAGCGTAGTTTAGACATGTTTAACGCGTTCAGAGTACTGTAGCGTACCGCAAACGTAGAAATTGACTTTCCGGTACTTGAAATACTGTAAAAATCGGAAAAACCCGGAAAATCTACGAAATTTAATTTTTCTGGGTGTTTTAAGGATTTCGCAAGCTAAATTTTTGACGATTTCTTTCAAACCATCACCCATTTAAAACCACCGTAACCCTCTGCGTTTCAGGAATACATGGAGCGAAACCGGAAGCGCGGTCTGGCCCCGGTGGCCGTGATGGCAGCCGAATGCTAGAAAGGCACCCAATCCTGTACACACAACACCAATTTACACCCATCAGCTACACACTACAACCCCAGTCAAAAATCCAATTTTTAGCCATCAATTCGTCGTACTGTATGTCTTGCCCGTGATACGTGTCAGTCTCCTCTTCTTTATTTTGTGTCCCACCTACCGTAACCATATAGTGCCATTATGGAAAATTCGGCGGTCATTTTCCCACCACTTCTTAAAAAAAATCCCGATTCTTTTTGGGTTCTGGAACGTTAATAAAGTGATTTGAAAAATGGTTGATTTTACGCAAAACACATTTTTGTAGAAGAGCAAATTGCCTCTGCTAGTTGGCCCTACAAAATTAAATTTTAGGTTTTTAAAGGAAGCGTGACAGCAAAAATGATACACTAATAAAATCATGCCTCAAATTTATATTGTTAAATTAAACGAAAAATAGTTTTTAGACGTCTAAAAAACTGCAAAAAAAAATTTCATAAAAATGATATAAATCTCTAATTAAATCCAGGGTTTAAATTTAAATTTATACAAGGATTTTTAAAACGTCTCTGCTCATGCTAGCAAGCAGAATTTGGAATGCGCGAAAAATGTTAGTTTTAGCTAAATTTTCGATCGAATTTAACGCATTTCTGCTGGGATTATAGGGACAAGGGCAGCGAGAAAATTTAGCTAAAAGCTAGCGGCAGAGCGATGACGCTCTGCCGCCTTCCCCACTGCTCCACAGCTTTGGTTCGCCCACGAGACCCGCCAACCACCACCCTCCCTCACCGTCGGCAGCACCACCGCCCCGCGACTCGTCGAAAGAAAATTACCAAACATAGTTCCCCATTTGATCGTACACAACATTGCCGATGTCGTTTGTCTTGCCGCTTGCTGGTTGCCGCTTGCCGTCTGGTCTTGTCTTGTAGCCTCAAGGGTTCTTGGTTTTGCCATGCTGTTTGTTTTACTGCCGTTGTCTTGATCGGTGCACACAGGGCTCTTAATCCATTTTTTTTTTCTGGTAGCGAAATCGACAGGCCAAGATTGACACCACTCCGAAACACTCCCACCGAGCACTTACGTAGCGTTCCGTATTCCGGGCGTACGTCCAAACCGCAGCCGGCTCCGCCCTCAGTATTGTGCACGGTTTGGTAGGGAGTTGGAGTGTCGGGTACAGACCCGTGTCTATATCTACCGCCCGATTCTCACACCACTTCACTGAGTATCCCTGCCCCAACACCATCTTTAGCCTCCAATAAAATTTTTCATTTTTTCTCTCTTCCTATTTGCCCCTCCCACCTCCCGTCCACCCATCCATTCATCCCCAAAATCCTTCCCTCTTTTAAGCCCCACATTTTCTGTGACATCTTTCCCCTATACTGTGACTCATTGCATGTGCAATGGCGCCTCGTTGCGCAAATAAATTAAAAATTAAATTAAAATTCCATAACTACTCTCTAATCCTCCACATCCTAAATTTCTACCTATTACTGTAATGCTAAATTGTGACCGGACCGGGTAGAAATACCAAAGGTAGCTGTGCAATCCTGAGAGGCCGCTCTGCTCTGTCTAGTCGTTATAGCCCACAAATTCCCGAATTCCACTCGAGACCAGAGGTGAAAACTATTTGGCAATTATTGGCAGTTAGCCAGTATCCCCCTCGCAACGCCCACGATGGAATTTGCAAAATAAACATTGATGAAGCAGGGATCAACGCCAAATGGCGCGCGGTTGCCGAGGTTGGTATTGCGTAAAAAGATAGTGTAGTGGCCTGGAAAGTTTAAATGTCAATAGTGGCGGGTGCAGGTAGAAAAATTCGAAAAGCTCATAGAAACGAACTCTTAATCGAAAAATAGTGATCATCGAAACGGAATGAAGACTGAGGAATTTGACATCCAGCCTCATCGTTTTAGCCGAATGCCCACGTAAATTCTTGAGCCCTTAAGTAATTTCTAAAGCTTGGAAAAAAAGAAAAGGAAACAAATTGACCGCCAATTTTTCCTCAACCGAATTGTGAATCGCTTGAGTGGGTGGCTTATTTCAGGCTGATTACAACGTTCTTTTTGCTAATTAGCGTCTGAGAATTCGCATCAACTTCGATGAAATTATAATTTCTCGCCAAGCCATTTCTTTGGTCGTGTGAAATCGTGTTCGATTTGTAAGAGACCGATTATTTTGACACCAGATGGTTACAGTCGCTTCGCGACTGCAACCATCTGGCCTTCGGGCTACCCTACATGTCCTACTCCACCACATCCTTCCCTACCTCCTTCAACCCCACCCCCCTGATATCCGAAATCCCCGTCAAAAACTACCTAAATACCTTCCTGATGGCTTCAGATACCTTCCATGACTGAAATCCCCGTCAAAAACTACCTAAATCCCTTTCTGATGGCTTCAGATACCTCCCATGACTGAAATCCCCGTCAAAAACTACCTAAATCCCTTTCTGATGGCTTCAGATACCTCCCATGACTGAAATCCCCGTCAAAAACTACCTAAATCCCTTTCTGATGGCTTCAGATACCTTCCATGACTGAAATCCCCGTCAAAAACTACCTAAATCCCTTTCTGATGGCTTCAGATACCTTCCATGACTGAAATCCCCGTCAAAAACTACCTAAATCCCTTTCTGATGGCTTCAGATACCTTCCATGACTGAAATCCCCGTCAAAAAACCCCGTGGCTTCAGATACCTTCCATGACTGAACCCCGTCAAAACTACCTAAATCCCTTCTGATGGCTTCAGATACCTTCCATGACTGAAATCCCCGTCAAAAACTACCTAAATCCCTTTCTGATGGCTTCAGATACCTTCCATGACTGAAATCCCCGTCAAAAACTACCTAAATCCCTTTCTGATGGCTTCAGATACCTTCCATGACTGAAATCCCCGTCAAAAACTACCTAAATCCCTTTCTGATGGCTTCAGATACCTTCCATGACTGAAATCCCCGTCAAAAACTACCTAAATCCCTTTCTGATGGCTTCAGATACCTCCCATGACTGAAATCCCCGTCAAAAACTACCTAAATCCCTTTCTGATGGCTTCAGATACCTCCCATGACTGAAATCCCCGTCAAAAACTACCTAAATACCGTCCTAGATACTTTAAATAATTTAAATACGTAATTAACATAATTAAAAGTATTAAATAGTATATTAAAAAGTATTAAAGTAACTTAAAAAGCTATCTGGGCGCGGGAAGGGGCCTGGGGATGAGGGGCGAAGGGAAAGGGGGCGTGGCCTCCCGGGAGAGGGGCCCACTCCTTTTACTAAGGAAAAACCTTCAAAGTTAATTTTAATAATTTAAACTAAACTTTTTCATAATTTTTTTTATCAGTTTGGGGGTTTCTGACCACGCTCTATCCGAATCCGAAGAGAGCTAAGCTCTACCTCTTTTCCCCTTCGAGTTGAATTCGGCTTCAGACAGACAGACACCACAACTTTTTTATTATAGTTGATATATAAATTATTTAATCAAACCGATAATGCAAATAAAAATTCCGTCAGACATCACATAAAGCCAAATTCATAAAAATTCAGGACACTCCGCTATTTATGAGCCTGTTCAGACCATAACGGAGCATTTGTGAACTTCGAATTTAGCCGCTCTCAACGCCCAAAAATCCAAACCCCGGCAGTTGTGTCCGATTTTGCTACTTTAGGCATCTACGAAAAACTCCTTTATTTCGGCAAGGTGATCACAAGCCTTTGTCGTTTTTCAATACAGACATTTTAATTAGGGCCAAAAGTGCTAAAATTTATGAAAACTGCAGATTTATACAAAATCCGCACGTTAATTTCTGATCCCAAGCTAACATAACGACGCTGATTCAACGCTCTTTTAAAAAAATTGTGCAATATTGAGCGAGGGCGAGGAAAGCCTTGGAAAACCGCAATGGCTTGTTTTCGAGTTTTTTCGGCAGTTTTCGAATCACATAAAAGTATCCCGATCCGAACTTTTCCGAACGTCTAGAGGAAGTCGTTGTTTTCGGAACCGCGTGGATTCCAAATACATCTTTTTACGGCCATTTTAAGTCGCGCTCAATGTTTCTCCGATCGGAGGGCGCTTCGCTATTTCCAAGTTTCGCAGAAAACCTGAGAATTTGAGGCATTATCATTTTCGTTCCCATTTCTGCGAAGATCCCTCAAAATCCATGGGGGATTTAGAGGACTAGGCCGCTGCTACGTCACAACTAATCAGATCTAATCTTCAGGGGGCTTTTCGTCCAGCCAAAGAAAGGGGAAAGACGGGTTTTGTTGCCAACGCCGATCGATACCACCACGCTTTTCGGCAGCATCTTACGTTAGGATGTGTGAAAACAAGCCGAAGAGATAAATAATAAACAAAATCTGAAAATGATAGGCAAATCCCGAAAAATAAGCGCTTTTTAGAGGTTTTATCGATGCGAAACTTTTTAAACTTCGGGCGTAACGTAACGTAACGTAGCGTAACGCGTAACTATCGTACGCGTGCGGAATTTATTTAGTTTGACATTCTGTTAGTTTTCCTTGGCTTTCGATTTATTAGGCAGGTTGCAAGACCCGATTTCCACTCAGATTCAGATTGGAATCCCCAGCCGAATCGGCCTTAATAATTCGGTGTTTACACTCGACAATTACTCACTCAGCGTGACAACTTTTTTCACTTTTGCAAAGAGGTAGTGAACTGTAGGGCGTTTTGGTAAAGAAACTTGCATCGCGAGAGGGACCTAGGATTAAAACTCGAATTCGAATCAATTTTGCCAATTTCGAAGACGCTGAAGACACTGAAATCGATCCAGTGATGGCGGCAGAAGGGTTCGGACGGTAATATTTTAATTTTCGCGCTGACCTCCGGCTCGAAAAACGATTCGAATTTCTGGAAGAAGAAATTCCCTGTTCGTCTCCCTTCTATAAAAATCCCAATAAATCAATACAGTTCCCCTAACGCTTTTTTTCCGTAAATTTCAGCGACCCAGCATGTTACATAAAATGTCCAACCATGTGCCATAATGCATTACCCTCGTTTCTTTTGC